GCACAAATGCCTCAGTTAATGATGCGGCAAATGAAAGAGTAGACGATATATCACGCATGTTCCAATCTCGCATTCGCCTCAATGATGAAGTATACCCTTGAATTTCGATGAACGTGACGATATGCAAGGCAGGAGGTAGTGCAGAGTCGAATGCACGGGGAAAGGGGTCGACTTGATTAGTAGTTATGAGTCGAATGAATTATGACATGCACTTTTGTATGTGTAGGATTATTATGACTGAATCCACTTAAACTATTCGAATGTCAATGGGTACATTGCATATTTTGTAGCCTTGCATGTATTCAAAATTTACTTACAAGTTAAACCACTGCTACTTAAAACTAATTATAAGGCTGGACTCTGTATGGATATACTTATAATTAGGTCAACCTTCGTGGTGCTTGTCGAGAACGATGCATAATGCTTGATGAGTGGCAACCATTGTTTTGATTTAAGAAGTTTGTTAGTTGTGATAGAAAATGGAAGGGGAATACTAAAAGTAAAATGGCATAAACGGCAGATCCAGTAGAAAAAACCCTCCAGCTAAGATTAATCTTGGTTCAAATTTGATAGATACTAAAAGTAAAATGGAATAAACGGCAGATCCAGTAGAAAAAACCCTCCAGCTAAGATTAATCTTGGTTCAAATTTGATAGATACTAAAAGTAAAATGGAATAAACGGCAGATCCAGTAGAAAAAACCCTCCAGCTAAGATTAATCTTGGTTCAAATTTGATAGATACTAAAAGTAAAATGGAATAAACGGCAGATCCAGTAGAAAAAACCCTCCAGCCTAAATAAATAGCAATGATATGAGGGATTGTAAACGAAGGCAAAAACAAAGACCAAACAACTTTTAATCTTTTAGATTAAAGTAGACGATGTAGCCGGACTCTAGAACATCATCAGATGAGCCTTAAACTGTGTATACATTATAGAGTATGCAAGTACAAAGTATGCAAATACAAGATTCTGACTAAAATTCTTGAATCCCAACATCTCCATGGTTGGAGCTAGCATCCCAATAGAGCTTTCCGTCATGGTTTTTATGAACATCTCTTCAGTTGTGTTTTCGTCAAATTCTGAGTAGCCTCTTCCCTCCATGAAATTCCTTCCTTCTTCACCCTGAATTTCCTTCACAATGAACTCACGAACTCTTTACTGCCTAGTGACAGTTTTACAGATAGCTAGTCCACAAAATTCTTGTTGTTTGATCGATAAGAAAATCTAATCTTATTACCTGACTAAGGTTTAATCCTCTTTAAAGCATCAAGCAAGCTTTGAGAAGAAATAGAAGAATGAAAATGGGGAAAATCAAGACCTTTTGAATAAAACCTGTACCTTCTATTCTCTCTCTTTTTTTTTTTTTTGCTTGCAATATGGGATGTGATTAAATAATTACAGGTAATGTCACGCTTTGATAAATTGCAAGAACTTAATTCCATTAGACGAAACCTTCCCTAGAACCCAGAATATGATTGCAAGAATTTTGTTGAATAAAGCAATAAATTAATCAAAACATTGGCAGATGTCTTATGGACATATGAAATCACTATTACTTGCTTAGCACATGACAAACAAAATCACATACAAGTTCAAGTCTTTCCATCTCACGCACATAATTTACACAGAAATAATAGTGGTGAATCTGAATAGCAAACACCCCAAAACACTCATACAGTGGCATCCATTGTCAATAACTTATGCAAGTCTCAACCTATCAAAAAAACCTTGGCATCGACCTTCAAAAAAATATTTGGAAGCCCAAACCTTTATGATTATGGCATTGCATGACCACTCACTTGCCTGAGCCACCTTGGTCAGGTAAATGCGAAAAGTAGTATGGCATTGCTTGACCTACAATACATTGAGAAAATTGAGAGCTGCATTCATGAAAGAAATATACATCGGAAGTTGAATGTCATACTTTGTTCTTACCTTGTGAACTATACATAATGTTTGTTGATGAAGAACAGACGAAATTTGAAGACGGTAGCACACTTGAAAGGGAGAATGGTGTCGTGATGGAATATTGTGTTAAGGGGAATGTCGTCGACCTAGGGTACGGTAAATATGAGGTCGGCGTCTGCACTGAATGTTGTTGTGTTTGAGCATGTTGAATGTCGACCACACTCCCAGCCGTATCCCTTTGCCTTGTGCTTGGTCGCTTTCCTTTGTTTGGTGCTGAGTTTCCCTAAAT